GAATCTTTAATAATTTTAAATTTATATTTATTCAAATCTAACATTGCTTCAGATTGTGGTCTACAATAATCATCGGTTGTAATTACACCAAAATCAAACAAAATACTATATGTTTCGTTTACATTAAAAAGTGAGGATTTCACAAAGATACGAACTGAATAGTTGTTTGGACGATTATTATTTGTTGACATATCGAATTCAAAAACAGTAGTGGGTATAGAAGTATTAACAGAAGTTTTCATAAATCGAATAAAACTTGATTTTTTAGGTAAAACTACGTCACGATTAGTAAAGAATGTCCATTCATATTCACTTTTGGTAGTAGAACATATTTCATCTATTGGTCTCACGTTTGTAATTTTTGGTGGTTCGTAATTCAGAAGATACTTAATTGTATGATAAGGACTAGACAAACCGCTTGCGCTTGTTGCATATAGAAGGACTGATTCTTGTTGAATGTTAGAGTAATCAACTTTGATTGTATAATTGTAATACCATGAACGAGAAGTCGCATTGTATGTTAAATCACTTTTGGTATAACCTGAAAATTGATATACCATGATGTCAGAAATATTTGAGGACTTTGACTTTGCTTCAATAATTCCAGTATAGATTGAATTATTAGAAATTGCTACACATGATTTAGACGGTGGAACAACCGGAGTGAATTGAGGGAGATCTTCACAAGAAATGGTGCCAATATTATTTTTAAATGTCACAATAAATTGCAGAGGTACACTACTCATGGGTAAGGTATCATTTTCATTTTTAAAATCTTCAATTTGTAATTCAATAATAATGTCCCTCTTTAAAGATGGTGGAAAATAAAGTGTGCATGTTTCACTATTTAATTCAACAGATTCCAAATTACAGGCTACGCATTCTTTTCCAAATAGTCCATTGGTAGAAGAAGGTCTGCAGCGTATAATATCATTATCAATATCTTCAATAGGTAATTCCAATTGCGACTTGCATCCAGATAATATTTCATAAATAGGAAATGCCTTGGTTGTTGGTGGTGTATTCCAGTTATTATTTTTATTTTTTATTTTGTGACTGAAATGATTCCAAATATAGCCTATATTCACAAATGACCATTGTCCGCCATTACTATCCAAATAAAAATAAATCCATTCGTTTTCGCTAATATTGTATTCTGAAATATTTATAGTTTCTGATTTTGCAACTATTGACCAATCTTGATTTGGACTGTGGCTTTTGCAAATAAACGAATTCGATAAACTCTGCAAATATGCCACATTCTGATTGTTACGCTTATACATTGTGAGAACGATACTGTTTGGATCCTTTGTAAGAGTTTTATCTTGTATCATAAGGTCGTCACAGTGAACGTATGCACCATTACCTGAATTGTTACGCCTGTAATAAAACTGCGAAGCAAAATGAATTTCATCACCATTTGATAACCATTCACTAGAAACCGTTACACCTCGATAATGATGTCCGATCACCTTATCAATAAAACAGCATAATAAAAGAATTATAAAGCTCAGAAGTTTTTCCATTTTTTATATGGAAATTTAATTTTAAGATTTTCCAATGAAATGATTTTTTTGCTATTAGAAGCCTGAAAACATAAAACTTCAACTTTTAAATTCTTCTTTTATATAAAAGTTTATTCTTACAATCAAATTTCAACAAAGACTTATGTATGATAAGAATAATTATTACTATTAATGATTTTCAATAAGAGTAGAGCACAGATATATTATATATACTTTACATATCTAAAAATACACATAACATTTGCATCTATTTGTTCTTAGATATAATTCAAAGTTATTATCAAGGAGTCTTTTAGCCTTTTTAAACTTAATGAAATAAAACTTCAAAATTGCGACGGTATAAATGTTTCCATATTGATGTTGTAAATATTGATAAGCTATTTTTTTAACAATAATATCTTCTGTTTGCTCAACACTTTTGTTTTCAATGGCGATACGAATTTATGTTTGCTTTCTTACTTTAATTAATAAAAGGCTACCCGTATAGCAAAAAAATTAAGTTTTATCTTTGTTTTATGTCTTTATTCATTCTCAAACAAACAATGTCAGCGGGGCGAACCCCATTATCAACCTTCAATGTATATATGAGTATAAAAGAAAAAGACTAAATAGTAAAAATCTAGACGCGGGGTAGAAAATTAAAAAAATTAAGACAGTTTTTCAGCGAGTACAGCAGCTATGGTATTTGATAATGTAAAATTATCAACGGTTCAAATTTCTTGTTTAGTAACACGTTCATTGGTTGTACCAGGTCTTGCTAAAAACGATAAAAAATTTGACGTAGCACTACGTTTTCGTTTACAAACGAATCACTTCTTCAAAATACAGATCAGGATAACGATTAATAATAGAATTATCACTACCAATACCAATGAAAAGACGGGATAGACAAACTTTAGAATATTCTTGTGTTTATCTGACTGTTTTGAGCGGCTGTCAATTCGTTCACGATGATTTTCAATGAGTAAATGTATTTTTGATCACCAAACGCCTTTAGATACAAATGATCACCAAAGAAAGATACTTTTGATCACCAAATTTTCCAGCATCACATTTTTATACATATAAACATATAAATTTTAACAAAGACAATATTTTCACAGTTTTATTTACATTTATTTACAAATTTAAAGCTGGTTGAATATGTGTAGTCAAATTTCTTCATCTCTTCTTTATTCATTCATAATATCAGTCAAATTTCACTATCTCTTCTCTGCTTCTTCTTATATATGTACCCTTAAAGTTTATTCATTTGTAAAAATGTCAGCATCAGACTGGATTCTATTAAGTATAGTAAATTTACTTGATGATGTTAAAGCTGTTGCTAAATTACATGGTGTATGTCAATGTCGAACAAATAATCTTAAGGATCATACAAAATACTCGTTTAAATGTTCTCAGTATCGTCTCAATTTATATGTGTATATGTATAAAAATGTGATGCTGGAAAATTTGGTGATCAAAAGTATCTTTTTTTGGTGATCAAAACAATTGACACCCATTATCAATTGATTTAATAGTTTCTTCCACATGAGTTTTAATTTTGTCGTGATGGTTATCTATCAGAGTTTTGGATTGTTCAAGTTGTGTTTTTGACGACTGAATAAGATTTTCAATTAAGATAGATGGTACATGATCTACTGATTTACTTGCACAGGGAGGCTAAGGCTTGACTAAGCTTTCAAATGGGAATTAAGCAAAGTCTAGCTCTACCCTAAGGACCTACTCCTAATTTGTGCTAATGAAGCAGTTTGTACAAAAGTGGCTTATAGCAAAAACATTATGTTACTTAAACTAATCGACTGGTAGACTTTGCTTAATTCCCATTTGAAAGAAAAAAGCTACAGAATAAGACGTTCCCCAACTAGGTATACGACGAACCGAACAACCGACTCGGGCAAGTTCGAATCGAACACTGTTTGACTCAAACAGTGTCCGAATCAAACACTGTTTGACTCGCACATTAACCGATTCGGACATTTGAATGTTCTGTTCGAACATCATGCATGTTCGAACAGAACATTCAAACACTGTTCGACTTTTTTCATTTCTGTTAAGTGTCTGTTTAGTGCATAAATTTGACGAGTTTTAAGTGTGTTTAAATCACATCAGTGGCTGAAATAATCGAAGATGCTCCGAACTCGCAGGTGTCAGCAAAGCTGTTGTTATTTATTCAACTCCGATGCCGTTCAGACTAGAGCTGAAGAAAGGACGCGGCTTTTGAAATACACAGACTGCGACTAGATTAATTTTCTGCTATTTTAAGTCTGATTTCCCCACTTGATTACTGGTGTTTTTCTACGATATCGACTCACCTCTCACTTGGAAAAATTTTCCATTTTCTCAAAGCATTAAGAGTCCTTTACACTTAGTTCTGAGAATAGCTCTTACCTCTTGAGCCTCTCATATATAAGTATCAAGCACCCTAGGAGAAAGTCGTTTGAACGAGAGAAATCCAAATTTCGCTGTTCATTATAAAACTGTATAATGACAGTGAGCCCAAAATGCTTAGCACGTCAACTCATCTACAATTTTAGACGAATCTTAAATAAATGCGAAAAACTTGTTCAGTAAAAAACATGTGGAAAAGGAGATCGGAATTTCTGATCGAGGAAGGTTTACGCAAAAAAACTTATAAGAGACATTTTTCTGTATTCAGTAGTGGAGTCTTCCTTACATCTAAAGCCAAGCCTTGCAGTACGGAATCAGACTGAATCAAAGAGCGTAGAAACTGTGTCGGACATGGAAGCGAAAAATGTTCGTTCAGATTAAATTTACTGTGATCATAAGATTATAAAGAAGACTTAGCGTTGAAATCTATTTAAAAAAACACTTTTTTGCCGTCTTTGGTCAAAAGAACTTCAAAGAGACTTTATAATCCATTATTGGTATTTTACGCAATCAAACTGTAAGTCGTTTTGCGTTTGACACCAAAAGCAAAAACTGAAAACTAGATTAGTTGTTAAAAGCGACCGTAAACTAGAGAACAAAATGGAAAAATAACCCTTGACGAACTTTGATTTCTTAGCCGTATTGGTTGTTGCCAATCAAAAACTAAAAAAAAGCTGTAAATTAATGAGAGAAAATAGCATTTGAAAAAAATCTGTATTCTGCTCACTTCGCTAATTAAAACTGGAATAATTAGGGAAGATCTCTTTCCACTTCTTACACTAATTTCAAGTACAGAAATTGTAATATATTTTCCATATTACCCGAAAAAGATTTCTTTAGTTTTTAAGAAATAGAGCTGTCAATATCAAAGATAAAAGTTACATTATTAACTCAATTTAATTTTAGTAATTTCACTGGAAAAACTACTTTTGGGCTTCTCTGACTATGGTATTCCGAAAAGTGATCGAGGTCATTCCAAATTCCAGCACTTTCTAAAATTAAAGTGAAATCCATGCATTTTACTAACTTTAGTCTAATATTGAGATGTCTATACCTTAAAAACTAAAAAAGACCCTTTTCCAAAAAATAGCTTGACGTAGAGTACAACTTGTGTACTTAAAACTATCAGAAAAACTGGAGAAGGATAGCTACAAATTTGTTAACTTTTTAATCTGGGAAGCTGCTAGAATATACACTAATTTCATAGCGAAGGGAATCTTTCTTTTGGATTTTTCTAAAATTCGTTCTTTTCTCCATTTCTTGTTTTTTTACTGTGTCTTGTGTAGTATGCATAGAAAGAAGAAAGCATCAAAGTTTCATCTAGCTGAACTAGTACATGGATTATATAGACACGAATGTTACGTTATCTAATGCTGAATATTGCGTAATGATTGTTCATCATTTGCTACTCTTACTCATTGATTCATAGCTGTGTTTCAAGAAGATGCTGACTATAGATAATAACAGCCTTTTAACTATTTAAATTTCTGTTTTACATACATTATCTCTCACTACCATGACTGTACTGAAATCAAATTAGATGTTTTTATAACTTACTTAGACTGTTTGAAAACCTCTCAAACTATTGACATATATCTAATTTTGAATGATTTACTTTTTATCTATGTTTATTTGTAAAGTGACCGACAAAAGTTTAGCCCGTTTTCGTTTTGATTCTTTCCAGTATCTACAAAAGCTTAAAAGAAGGTTTGACATCTGTTACAAATCCTATTCAATGTGTTCGCATTTTCCAGCTGCCGTCAAATTTCTGTGCTCTCTACATTCACGAAATACGTGAGTCCAACACATTCTGGCATTTGGCAATTCAAGATTTTCAGCATTCGATAATTTACTTTGTATGAGATGTCTACAATAAAAAGAATAAACTCGATGCGCAGTCTTTATAGCAGAACAGAAAAATCGCATTACTTGTGACATCAGTTACAGGTATTTAAGCGCTTGTATATAAAAATCTTGCAGCTTCATTTGTTTCAGGAGCCAAAGATGACCAGTCAGCAAAACATTTATCACGATGGAGCTGCTAGCGTAAACACACCAACAGAAAGTGCTTGACTGTTTCAACTTTCCACAAGCGCAGAAACGACTAGTACTCATATTTCTTTGAAAGAGATCGGCATTTATACGAAAAAATTGATGTTGAACATGTCATAGAGCTTTATTTTAGCCCAAATTCTAATTTAAACTAAGGATGTAACGAGAAGGAAAACAAACGCAAAATTGAAGTGGAAGTTAGTCCGCTTGACGTCAATAGTTCTAAGAATTTTCAGGCGTCGTATAGTAAATAGTCGTATTATTATTTTAGTGCTTACATTGCGGGTTCTTAGATTAAGGAAACTTTCAAATTACATTCTCGAATATCCATTTCAAAAAGAAAACATCTCGAAAACAATGAAAAAAGAATATAAAAATCTCAAACTAACGAATGAGGAAAGTTCTGCATAAGAATGTTGAACGCAATTTCCCCATGTTACCACTATTTTGGAGACCTTGCATTTTTTTTGTTTGATAGCGATAAGTCTGAACTACAACGTGTACATCAACCAAATGTTTCTCTCACAAAACTTCATCGGAAAACTTCAAACTAAGTAAGCATCACTAAAAAGTATTCGTATACCGTGATATACCACGAAGAGTTTTCAATGTCACAATAAATCAATTCCTACTGCAACAAAATAGAAGAAATAATACCTCGTGAAAAGTTCTCTCACCTTCTAAAAAGGTTTTCAAATTAGTTTTTAGTGGTTTTCTGAAATACTCTAAAAGTCATTCGTTTTCAAAAACTGAGACTTTGCGTATACATTTATGGCTTTCAGCAAACGCCATAAAAGGTATTCTATAATAAAATGTATTGTACACCAAAAGAAGAAAGAGAAATTTGTTTGATGTATGTTTTGTAGTTTAGATCTCTTTTAAACGAAAAAAGTGCTAAGTCTCCAGAATACTGGAACCTGTAGAAATTGCGCTCAACATTCTTATGCAGATCAACCGGAACTTCTAATGAAAACCAATATAAAAAATAATCAGCAAACGTCTGTTGCTGATATAAACGGATAACTCCATGTATCGACAGAGGTATCGACCACTTTATTCATGACTTTTTTGCAAACTTTGAGATACATCTAAGAGAATTTTACTTAAAAATTCCACTATAATTAACAAGGGAACCTCGCCATGTGTCTCGTCGTTTTTCCTCAGAAACATATTTTAGTATGGGCAATTTTTGAAGCTGATCACGAGCCTGGCATTCATGTAGAAAAGATTTAGATCCGTCTGTTTTGTAGAGCATGTTGAGTATGGAAACATTGCCGTGTCCAACGATTGAGTTTTCGCTGAGTTCAAGGAGTTTTACATTTCGAATCAATGGAAAGCGTTGACCTTTCACCTTTTTTCTGGTAAAACTTCTTAAATTCAGTAAAAACTCAATCGTTGAACAAATGAAAGAGTTTCTAATCAGGTGAGATGCATGCATATGACAATTCCATTAAAGTTTCTGCAAACCAGGTCTGTGAAAAACCAAGATTTCAGAAAATCCTAAAAAATCAAGTCCCCCGATTCTAACGTAAACTTTTTGCAAATAGTCCACTCGTGTATAGCAAACATTTCTGAACTCTCCACGACGTTTTACATCGAACTGCATTCAATTTGAAAAAAAGGTTCCTCGGTCATTTTCACTATCATTTTTGCTCTTTTTCTCTAGCGATTTCGCTGATTGTGACGTGGAGCCGTTCTTAAATTGAATGCAGTTTGATGTAAAAACGTCGTGGAGAGTTCGACCACGTCTAGTTGTGTTCAGAAATGTTTGCTCTACACGAATGGACTATTTGCAAAAAGTTTACGTTAGAATCGGGGGACTTGATTTTTTGGGATTTTCTGAAATCTTAGTTTTCCACAGACCTAGTTTGCAGGAACTTTAATGGAATTGTCATCTGCATGCATCTCACCTGATTATAAACTCTTTCAGTTGTTCAAACCTTTTTTTACATTTGTTCTAGCTATTATGGTTGAGGAGAAAAATTAAAAATAAAGGTGAACCTATAATGTTGGCCAGTACTATACATTCATGGATACTTTGAAGGTAAACCTTCTTTTTAACATTCGTCTATAGACCCTGTTATACGTATAAAAACATTCACGTTTTTTGTCACCTGTAGAGCATGACTATAAAATATTCTTTGTAAATTTTCATCATATTTTACTTTCAATTTATCTTTATTTTGAGTTTCAATTGTCAATTGATTGTCATTTAAATCAGACGAACTAGTTTCCTTCAAATCATATGGTAGTAGACGTTCTTCAATTATCAAATTATCGGTTTCTATAGTTAATGATTGAAATTTATTTCCTAAACGATCTGTATATTCATTTTGTTGATGAGCAGAATTTTTCATCAATGTTTTTTGTCGTAATATTCCACCATGTACATCAGTTTCAACAATTTCATTTGAATTTATCCTGTTTTTGCAAGTTCTCCATTGACTAAAATTAATGTTTTAGAAAAATTAATTGTAAAAATAAAGTTAACATGTTTTATTTCATTTTCATCATAAGATAAAACTCGACCATATAAATCAAACAAATATCTTGTTTTTCTTTGATTTATTAAATCATTAACTTCAATTGGACCATAATCAAAGTATGTATAAGAATAATCAGATATGATTTCATCATCTTCTGTTTTTATTAATCTACTTAATAAATTATCATCATTATATTCATAGGTAATAGAAAAATTCTCTTGTATATTTGAAACTTTAATTAAATTGTGTTTACTATCGTATGTATAACTTGTTGTAGACCAAGGATTCACAGATGAAATAAGACAATTATATTGATCATAATAATAGAAAAAATTTTGCATTGGAGAATCTAACGTCTTTTTTGTTATATTTCATCGATCAACCACCTCCCTTTTGATAATGGTTAACTGATATGATTCTCCAGATAGGAGTTTCGTGTCAAATTCTGCTAATGTCTCCCTCCTGCTTTAAAATACTTCGATGTAAAAATGATGCATGATCGTAAATAGGTGAAGATTTAAGCAGCAGTGGCAAATTTTTATATCATCAAATGTATTCGTGATTATGTTTTCGTGCGTTATTGTGCTTTCTTTAATGGCAGTTTATACTCTCTTTCTTATGTTCACATCTTAAAATAAAAATTCCCCTGCCCCATGGGAAAAGGAAAAAAACCTTGTAGACTTAGAGAGTAGCCACGATAGTGGTACTTCAAATCAGTACCGCGAGTGGAGCTTAAGATCAGCATCACAGGCTACTGAGCTTGCCGATCCACCAGAATAAGAGAGTGAATGAAAATAATACAAGCTGAATTTCATTTCATTTAGTTAAAATCATTTTAAATGCAGAATTATTTAAACAGAAAGAACGCCATATCTCATTTTCCGGTTTCGGCACGTTTGAAAAAAAACGTTTTGAAACGCGAAACTAAACATGGCGTTTCGTCGCGTTCGTGATAAAAGCCGAGGAAAACTGAGTTTCGTTTAAAAATGAAATTCCAAAATAAAAACTGCTGTTTTAGTCCGTTTTTTTCACAAACGTTATGAAACGTTAGTAACGGAAATCGGAACAAAATAGTTTGTTCAGAAAAGCATACTTTTGATCATTTTCTTCATAAAACATTTTAACTCACGAAGAGCACTGTATACTCGAAACTTATTCATACCATTCCTGTTATACCTGCCAAAAAGAGTTCCTAGGCCGAATACGAGACCAGACAAGAGAAATCCTGTGTCTAACGGTGTAAAACACTATCCGTCTAATAGTGAAAAGTATTTTTTAAATTGCCTAGTAATTACTTTCTGTATTCCGAGCAAGTTTCCAAACCCTCAATGAACTCAAGTGAAGGACTTAGACACTTGTATTGAGTCACAGGTAACGAGTAAACGATCATAAATGTGTCATACATAAACTGATAAGTCCTCTTCTAATACATTATCACCACTGCCCTATCTCATGAATGATGATATTATCCTATCTAATAAATTAATTTCCATTTTACTTAGTAAAAGAGCGACAGAGGACAGCATTGTCACGAAAAGAATAATAGCTATATATCCGATCATTTTTTATAAGAACGTCTTTGGTGTATTGAATACTACGTTTTCCCGAAAAAGAAACAGATAATTTTAGTTAAGATAAAAGGAAGAATAAAAAGTCATATCACTGACTGTTGTTTCACTTTTTCTCATTGGTCTGTATTGAATTCTTTATTCAAATGTCAAAACTCTTAACTTCGCCTTCAACTTAACTTCAACAAATGTCATCAACTTTTTCAACAGTAAAAATTGCACGTCTTTTCACATCTTTATCTCAGCATCTGGTGAACCCTATTGAAATTAAAACAACAAACACGCATATTATAATAAAATTAGCTCGTATTTTCCACGATTTTAATCGCTTCCGAATAACTTGGTGGTGGTGAGGGTGCAACAAGAACTGATGAGGAAATACGAGTAGCAGGTGCTTGTCTCACTGGACGCTGTTGAGCTACTCGAGGTGCTGGCCGAATTGTTCGTTTTAGAACTGATTTTTTGATTATTAAAGTTCTAATTATGAAAATCAATAAAAGTAACATGATTACGCCGCAGATAACGCCAACAACGATGCCAATAATCGTACCGGTATTGGATGTCGACGATGTTTCATCGTCCCCACCCGTACCTCCTCCACCACCATGTGACCTTCCCAGACATTGTTCAACTATGAACGTAACTGAAATTAAAATAATGCCTTCCAGTGTCAGACTCACCATTTTTTTGCTGTACAGCATAATTTTCTTTTACTCATTTGTAGAATGTACTTAAAGAAGTTCTGAAAAAATTTTTTTTTTTTCTTCTTTTAATCAACATCATAATAACATAATTAAGTTTTTTAATGACTTTTTTACTTCGAAAATCAAAACGAAACAGAATGGAATGAAACAAAATTATATTTCTCTTCTTCTGTATGATGAAAATGTTATATTATCCATTGTACACTATTAAAAAGTTTTGTGCTTCTATTCTTTCGAGAATATGGTGAAAAACTTAAATGTGTTGTCTGGAAAATGAAGAACAAAATATACTTTTTTCTTTTTAAAAAAAAAAGTGATCTGAATCAAATTGATTCGAGACGATAGAAATGAGAAAATGGTGTCGAAAAAAATATCACAATCATATAGAAAATTTACAAAAATAAGGTCATTTCTCAAAGCTGCGTTTAGTGTCAAACTCGACTAAGGGAACGTTTCAAAATATATTCCGGTCAGTCACTATTTCTCTATTCCGCTGTTCCTCGACTATTCCTCTATTATAGAACATTTCGTTGTATAATCGAACTTGATTTTCTTTTCTAGTTGTTTTCTACTTCTTCAAAAATAATTAACTGCCATGTTTGCAAAGATTATTCATTTATCAAGCTGTCAATAACATATTTAAAGCAAAAATAGAACATCTCTTTTATAGTTCATTCGACTGTCATACAATTTAGGCGTTTTGATTTGCCCTCATTGTTGATTGCTATCGATGGCGATAACGCGGTGTGGCTCAATGCAGCAAAAGGGTTAGACGGTAAGTTGGAAAAATTGGCGAGTCAAACAGCATATGGAAAATGATCAACATAGGATATCTTGATGTAAATTTCGACGTTCAAATAAGGACATTCTGATATAAATTTCTTATATCCTAGTTTAAAAGGTTTATATGTACAATTGGTTTATATGGCGTTTTGTAGCAAACAGCGAAAAAAACATATTATCATTTTCTGATCGATAAAATTCATTGTTATACAAACTGGCATGTCCTGTTCATACAGCGTTGATACAGAAGGTATACGACATTTGTTTTGTGGCAAAAATCAAGATTAAAATTACCTTTTTACATGTTGAAATGACCATTTGTTTTATTAAAATGATCAATACATTTGTTAAATGGATTATTAGCAGATTTAGTTTTCATGTATAAAATGTTAAGTCGACATAATAATTTTTAATTTTCTAGTTAATAAGAATGAATCAGAAATGTCAAGGCTTAGAAACTTAAAATTCTTCAAGTTTAAAGGTTATATGTTTTATTTTCAGTGATATACTCTAAACTTTTTTTTTCGAACGTGTTTGTAATAAGGGTAATGATAAGGCAATAAAAGAGACTCGGCTAAACTGTGTCTAGCACTTTAAACAAATGGATGTTTCGACGCAGCTGTGCCTATGCTGTACAAGCTGAAAGCCAACCAGCCAAATTTTCTACGTGACTTGTCTCACCAAAACGAGAAAATAAAAAAACGCATTTTAATCCGGTTTTTCGTAGAAGCGTTGGAATGAGAAACTAGAAAAACGCCTTGCTTTTCGTTCGACGTACTGAAACCATAAGATGAGAGTACGCTTTCCTACGCGTTTCAAGGGGAAACGAAAAGAGACACCATATCTCATGTACCAGTTTCGGTACGTTTAAAAGACAACGTTTTGGAACGCGAAAGTCAACATGACGTTTCATAGCTTTTGTGAAAAAGAACGGACTAAAACGCCAGTTTTTATTTTTGGATTTCAACGCATTTTAAAAAAAACTCAGTTTTCCTTGGTTTAGGAAGAGACAAACTTAGAAATAATCCTAAGTCATATGTAATGAATAATTTGCGTACGACATCACGCAAGTTGTGTGCAGATATTCCGCTTTTTCGTTTTGTTAAAGTCCTTTGGGTCGTCTTTGAAAAAACGCGATTAAAGACGTTTTTATCTCATATAGAAAATAAATGCTAGTAAATGGTATTTTTTTAAAAACCCGTTAAAAGCGTTTCTTTTCTGTTTGTTATTACAACGTGATTAAAGATGGTTTTATCTCATATAGAAACGAAACGCCTTCGAACGGGCTTTTAAAAAATAACGTTTACCAGCCTTTATTTTCTATATGAGATAAATACTTTAATGCGATAATTCTTGGACGGTGAGCATGATTGAACTCAGGTTTGATCATCAAATTTTTCCACACTCTTCCTCAGTTTTAGTCGGCGTCTTGCTACTCGTTTAATGAGCATAAAAGCCATAGTCTTTTTATACTAAAATACTTGGATGATCACTTGTATTGACCATTCGTAACTAATATGTTCTGTATCATTCAATATAGAACCAACGCACATTTTGATGATAAACTTTGATTGCTGAAAACATGGATTATCAACAGTTTTTTGTCTACGCATGTGTAAACTATAGTTTCATCGGTGCTTATTGCTTACGATTGTGCTCTACCTCTACTGCTCAGCTCCTACAGATTGGTAGCACTCTGTTAAGTCTTACCTTGACATAGTTGACACCTACTACATGACAGACCGTAGTACACACATATGAATAGCTCTGAAGGAAGAAGGAAGACGAATATGACC